GATCAGCTGTGGGTCCTGATGGCAATTTTTAGAGTACAGCGGTGCCCCGCATAGCGACGATAATCAGTGCAGCAAAAATTGTCGCTATACGGATTCGTTGCTATGTGGATTTAAAAAGCCCATAGGAATGCATTGAAACAGCTTACCGATCATCGAAAAAAGGGATTTCCCCCCATAGAAAACATCGTTATGCGATCGCAAAAACATCGTTGCTATGCAGATTCGTCGTTAAATGGGGCGCCCGTTATGCAAGGCACCACTGTATATATTTTAATTGTATTTTAATTTGTATATTTTTATTGTATTTTAATTGTTGTAAGCCGCCCAGACACCTTTGGGTAGTGTGGGTAGCATATAAGTTAAATAAATAAATAAATAAAATGTCCCCCATGACCCTAAAAGGAGACTTTTTAATTATGATGATGGTGGTGATGATGGCAGCTAATTTTGAGTTTAATGGGGGGATGGAAGGATCAGGGATGCTGGGAAACACAAGTGGGTCTCTGAAGGTTGCATGAAGCCCGGAGACTTTAAACACCCCTACTTTATACAGAGGCTGTTCCTTGAAAAAGAGGACAAATTACCATTCTAGATGGATTAGAAAGATAAGGATCTAACATTGAGATTATTTTTCTACTTTGCTTTTCTTGCACTCTACTTATCTCTAATTTTAGTACAGAAACTTAATTGACATTAGAGCAGACTTTATATTCCAGGAAAGCTTACAAGATTCATATGGTGTCCATAGTTTTTGCATATTGGTCCTGTCAACTATTCAGCTGCTACTGATCCTCCAAGATGATAGCTGCAACAAACTTTCTAAACAATAGGTTTAATTATCTTTCATTTTTTTACTTTTCAGATTCAGCCTTCTGTGAGAAACAAAAGCTTTAAGGGAAAAACGTTATGCCAAAACTAAAAGGAAAACCAAAATCAAAATCCAATTCAGATCTCTACATTCTTGAAAAGTTCCTGCAGACATATGAAAAGCATTGTATGCTCTCCCAAACTTGTATCAGTCCAACTATAAAACAAGGTTTACAGAAATGTATATCAAATGAGACATTAATCACTAAGGTAATGAATGAAAAAGAATAGTTCTTCATCGTGGTCTTCTGTGAATGCACACAAAAGGGTTAACCCAGTGCCAGCATTGGTCCTCTCGGAACATTCTCGAGCTTTAAGAGAAAAGTAACAAAGTTTAAGGCTGCCTATACCGCGCATGCTCCGCCTGCCCTAACCTCAGTTCCATTTTTCCGCCTAGCGACTTGGAACCTTTCGCTTCGAGCTCTGTTTTCAAACTATTTTTTTTTTGAGAATTTTTTCGTGTTTTTGGACCGGACTGTACTGACTACGAGAACTGTCATATCCCTTGATGTGGACCTCTCTTTTCACGGAATCTGCTTTAGTGTTTCCCCTCAAACTTGGCTGCTTCGGATTTCCCGCCTTTTTCCCCGCCTCGCAAACGGCTCCCTGTAAGACTTTTTTTAGCTTTTATGTCCCCCTCAGGACTTTCAACCATTGTGTGGTTTGTTCTTGGAAGATTCCCCACCAAGACGGGCATGATCGTTGCCTTTTTTGCCTGGGAGAAGCCCACCTTTTAAAGGCAAAATCCTGCAAGCACTGTAAAGTCTTTACTAAGGCGGCTTTGAAAGCCAGGCAACAACGTCTAAAATACCATCTGTGGGAATCTACACTGTCTTTCACCAAGCCCTCGGACATGGAACTTGCCTCACCGTCAGCTACTCCTCATTCCGAATCTGCAGCTTCCCCTCAACCGGCTGCTTCTAAGACTGGCAAAGCCGCAAAGAAGTCCTTTCCTCTAAAAAATCTGCTACAACGTTGAATGCTTCTGCTGCTCCAGCTCTCAAACCTGCAAAGCGAACAAAAGCAAAGGCTTTGGTTAAACCTAAGGAGCCTTCCATTCCACTTTCTCCTATATCCGAATCATTACCATCGCCTATATTGGAGGAGTCTCTGCCTCCTCGACAATCTGAGCCAGTTATCCTGGAGGGAGTCTCTTCTCCGACGCTGAGTCAGCTTGAAGGAGCCACCGCAGGCTTGACTTCTGCCCCACATAGCCCATTTTCTCATGGGTAGGGGTCTTCGGCTCTTTCGATCTCCTCAGTGCCCTCGAGGTCGAGATCCCCTCGTAAGAAGTGCTCTTCAAAAAGAAAGCACCATTCTTCCACTCGACGTCGATCAAAACATCGACGTTGAGCCCATTCCTCCAACTCTGATGACTCGGGAAGAGTTCGATCACAGAAACACCATCGATGTTGACGAGATTCGAGCTCCTCCAATTCCTCCTCAACCTCGACTGATCGAGGTCGAAAACACAGGAAAGTTAAATACATTTATGTGACATCTTCTTCAGATTCTCCTCGACCCCGTCATCATTGTCAACACCGACAGGTCGATCTCGAGGTTCCTAAGGCTTCCCCAGTGCCTGTGCCTCTCATCTTCTTCAGATTCTCCTCGACCCCGTGATCATTGTCAACACCGACAGGTTGATCTCGAGGTTCCTAAGGCTTCACCAGTGCTTGTGCCTCCTGACTTGAATATCCCCCTTCTCAACAGACTCAGTCTTCGGCATTGAAGGACAGGCACGACATCGAACGCAGGTCACGTAAAAGGAACAGAGATGTCTTTTCCTCTGACACTGATGAAGTTTCTTCTAATCATTCCTCGGACTCTGATCCTGACCTTCCAGCTCAGCCCTGTCAAGGGGATCTTCCTGAGGGTGACGTGGTGCCTTCTGATACCGGGGACCCCCATGCTTCCTCCCCTTCAGAGGACTTTTCTTCATATTTGCAAATGTTGTCACGCCTAGCATGGGCATTAAAGTTACACCTCCTGCTGAAGACCTTATTTTTGGGGACATCAACCAGGAGAGGTCTCCACCTCCAAGCCTTACCTTTGTACCGGTTATAATGGATATTATTAAAGAGTTTTGGAAGCAACCTTCTACTTCTCCCTCTATTTCTCGCCGCACTGAGAACCTGTATCGTGTCCACGGTAATGTCACGAAATTTCTTCTTAAGCACCCTATACCGAACCCGCGCATCGTAGAAAACAGTTGCACTAAGCCCACTGGAAAACAATTTCTTCTTAAGCACCCTATACCGAACCCGCGCATCGTAGAAAACAGTTGCACTAAGCCCACTGGAAAACCATATGTTACCCCCACAAACAAGGAGGGTAAAAAGTTGGAGATTATTGGAAGAAAAAATTACTCTTTAATTTCTTTCCCCCTGAGGATCATAAACTATCAAACTGCTTTGGGAGCATACCAGAAACAATTCTGGTGCATCACCTGGTTTGGAATCATGCCACGGGAATCATGCATCATTCCTGCCTTTTCCGGGCAGAATCCTTTGATGCTACCGGGCTATTCAATGAAAAGACTGATAATCATTTAGAGGAACTGCATAAGGCAAAAAAGACTGCAAAATCCTACTCGATCCAACCTCAGCCTAGATATAATAAATTTCAGTGGAGAAAGTCTTATTCACAATATCAGCAATCTTCACAGCAATACAGACCATATAAGAACCTATCTCAGCAAAGATCTTCTCAAGCTTCTTCCTCCGCTCCCAGCTATCGTCCTCAGCAGTCTCAGCGTAGGCAATCCTATAAGCTGCCTGCCAAAAAATCCAAACAGTATCTTTGACTCTGTCACAGATATAAAAGGAAATCACATCATCACACAACTTCAACCATTTCTGGCAAACTGGACTACCATTACAAACGACTCATGGGCATTAAAAATCATCCAATTCAGCTACCGACTGGAATTTATAGAATTTCCTCCCTTAGGGTACGTAACTCATACATCTTTAGACCCAGCTCTAGAAGAGGAGGTTCTATCTCTTCTAGAAAAGGACGCCATTCAACCTGTCCCAATCACAGATCTAAGAAATGGATTCTACTCCTGGTACTTCGCCGTGCCAAAGAGAGATGGAGGAATAAGACCTATCCTCGACTTAAGAATCCTAAACACTTACCTACATCCAAGGCACTTCTGGATGGTGACCTTGGAATCCATCATGCCCCTGTTAAAGAGAAACAATTGGTTTGTGGTGGTGGATCTGAAGGATGCATACTTCCATGTGACCATCCATCCAGATCATTGCAAGTACCTGCAGTTCATCTTCCAGGGAACCATTTATCAATTCCTGGCTTTGCCTTTCGGACTTTCAACAGCTCCCAGGACATTCACAAAGGTCATACCTACGCCTCAACGGCATCCACGTCTACTCTTACATAGACGATTGGTTGGTAGTCTCCCCATCCAAGACTCAGGCTCTGAAAGACACAAAATTCATTCTGCGGTTGCTTCCAAAATTAGGCTTCACCATCAACATGAAAAAGTCACATCACAAACCTTCCAAGGTAGTGCATTACATCGGAGTACGGCTAGATGCTACCAGAGGCCGGATTTTTCTGCCCAAAGATCGGATTCTGAAAATTCGCAAGGCTCTCAAGAGGTTTTGGCCAAGGGCCCGTGTGAGAGCGAAACATGTTCAACACCTGTTAGGCCTTATGGCCTCAACCACTCCAGCTTTGGCCCATGCGCATCTCAAGCTGTGGTCCCTGCAGTCATGGTTCCTGGCACTCTTCAATCCCATGAGAGACAGCCAAAGGAAACGCCTTCGTGTAACTCCAGAGCTTGCAACACAACTCCAGTGGTGGAATTATCCCCCACACTTGCAGATAAGCAGACCATTTTGACCCCTTTGGCTCACCGTGCAAGTGACAATGGACGCCAGTCTGACAGGATGGGGAGCACACTGCGGACAGCACAAGGTTCATGCTCTCTGGTCTGCAAAAGAACGAAACCTCCACATAAACCATCTGGAGATCAAAGTGGTCATCAAAGCCTTCAGAGCTTTCCTTCCCATGGTGCAGGGTCGTGGTGTTCAATTAGTGACAGACAACACCACAACCATGTACTATATCAACAAACAAGGGGGGACTTGCTCAGGATCACTTCTCTACCTTGCGATTCACCTTTGGGAGTGGTGCTACCAGCACCATGTCTTTCC